TTTGCATCCCATATATCGAGTTAAATACTCTCCTTACACACTAACATATCTGATTATTGTCTTTTTCCAAAAAAAAAAAAAAAAATCGTCATTGCAAATGTCATCGGAAAGTAAGTCTTTTCGATTATGGCACATTATGGCACAATATAAATAATCCGCACAAGCTGCCCCGAACGGCACGACCACCAAACATCGTCCATGCACGTTTCTTCAATAATATTCATTAAAAATGTTTTTTCAGCTCTTCATCTCCCTACTTCCTCTCTTTCTCACTGTAGTCTTCTGCTTATTCGTCGCTAAATCCTCAAAATTGACGGCGAAACCTCGACCAAATCTGCCCAAATCATATCCGTTACTCGGTTCTTATCTGGAATCTAAAGCTAATAAGAACCGACGGCTTGAATGGATAACGGGCTTCCTTCAAAGCTCACCCACTGCCACTTTCACGCTCCGCGAACCACTCGGCCGTAGACAGATCTTCACCGCCAACCCGGCCAACGTGCAGCACATGCTCAAGACGAATTTCCCCAACTACCAGAAAGGTCCCAATTCCAGGGGCACCCTCTTTGATTTCCTTGGCGACGGTATCTTCAACGTCGACGGTGATTCCTGGAAGTTCCAGAGACAAGTTGCGAGTCACGAGTTTAACACCAAATCGCTCCGTCGCTTTGTGGAAACCGTCGTCGATGCTGAATTAAGTGATAGGTTAACTCCTATGTTATCTAATGCCGCCAGGACCGGGACGGTGCTGGATTTTCAGGACATTCTTCAGAGGTTCGCCTTCGATAATATTTGCAGAATCGCTTTTGGGTATGATCCTGCCTACTTGATGCCGTCTCTGCCGCAGGCAGAGTTCGCCAAAACATTTGACGACGGCACAAACTTGTCCAGCGAAAGATTCCGGACGTTTCTTCCGATTAATTGGAAAATCAGGCGGTTTTTCGGAATAGGATCGGAGAAAAGACTCAAAATTGCAACCTCTGATATCCGAGACTTCGCAAAGAACATTGTCAGAGAGAAGAAACAAGAACTCAAGGATAAATCCTCGCTCGAATCGGTGGATCTCTTATCGCGATTCTTGAGCTCCGGCCATTCTGATGAAAACTTCGTCACTGACATAGTCATCAGCTTCATTCTTGCCGGCAGGGACACGACATCGGCGGCGCTAACGTGGTTTTTCTGGTTGATTTCTCGACACCCAGAAGTTGAATTGGAAATTCTGAAAGAAATCCGGGAGAAATCCGATTCGCCGATTTTCGAAGAAGTGAAAGACATGATTTATACCCACGCTTGTCTCTGCGAGACCATGCGGCTGTACCCACCGGTCCCTGTCGACGGCAAAGTCGCCATGGGTGCCGACGTTTTACCCGATGGAACAGAGGTGAGGAAGGGGATGGGGGTAGCTTATCATCCTTACGCGATGGGCAGGATGGAAAGCATATGGGGATCGGATTGGGCGGAATTTAAGCCGGAGAGATGGTTGGAGAGAGATGCGGCGGGGAAATGGAGCTTCGTCGGGAGAGATTCATACACGTACCCGGTTTTTCAAGCTGGGCCCAGGATTTGCTTGGGGAAGGAGATGGCGTTCTTGCAGATGAAGAGAGTGGTGGCTGGGGTTCTGCGGCAGTTCAGGGTAGTTCCGGCGATGCAGAAGGATTTTGAGCCGGAGCTTGTGGTTTTTCTGACTTCTAAGATGAATGGTGGTTTGCCGGTCCGCGTTGAAGAGAGGGGTGAATGTGATTGATGCAAGTTGTTTTTTGTTTTTTTTGGCTCGGCTGCTTCCTTTGAATAATAATAATAGTATAATACTGTAGTAATTAGTTTGTTTCGCTCATATTTTTAGGGTTAGAAGTAAACTTTAAGATTTTATATAATTTTTATTTTTAAAATTTTTAATATTTTTTTATTTTTTAATTATGAAAAATATATTTTTTTTTATCATTTTATCAATTAATTTATTAAATTTATCTAAATATATATTTTTAATCTCTTAACTTTAATTTAAAAAATAAAATATATGTATATATTAAAAGTTAAAAAATTAAAAATGTATAGATCCATATAGATATAGTGGATTAATTAATAAAAAAATTAAAAAAATATATTTTTCATAGTTAAAAAGACAAACAAATGCATAAAATAATGGAAAGATAAAAATTGCGTAAAACTACATTTTTTGTTCCTCAACTTTTTTAGTCCTTTGATTATAAAAAATATACTTTTTTGTCATTTCATTAGTTAATCCATTAAATTTATCTAAATATATATATATTTTTACTCATTTAACTTTAAGTTGAGGGACAAAAAATGTGCGTATATTAAAAATTAAGAGATTGAAAACATGGAGATTCATATAGACATAATGGATTAACAAAGAATTAAAAAAGTATATTTTTTATAGTTAAAGGACAAAAAAATGCATAAAAAAATTAAGGGACCAAAATTAGTATTTAATCTATCTTTAATTTGATTGTGTATTGCACAATAAGGACAACCAAATTCACAAATTCATATACATATTGTTTTAGCTTGGTATAGATATTTTTGGCTAAGTAGTGAATAGGTCCTACACTTACACCAAATTTATAATTAAAATTTTAAAGTTGTTGTATTCTTAAATAAAGTTATAATTGGATAAAAACCGTTAGATTTGCTAAGTCTGTGGTTATCCTAGTTAATTATAATTGGTTAAATAACAAAAATGGTCCATAAACTCGTAATTATAGTTGTAAATAACTTAAAAACTTTTTAAAATCTCAAAATGCTCTAAAACTTTTTGTTCTTCTAGTTTGTGAGGAATTTTTGTAAGATTCACAACTAAAAATTAATATGGTATGTATGTGGACCTTAATTTTTTATTATTTTTAAATGAATGAATTTAGTATACAAATATGTGGAACCCATTCAAAAAATTTGTTAATAGTTAATTAAATTTTTATGAAATTATTTAAAAGATAATTAGTAAATTATTTCAAATAATTAAAATTAAGGGATTTTTTATTCTGTACCCTTATGATGCATTTATTATATACTTTTATCATTAATATTTATAATAAAATTAAAAAAATGACATTAAATTTATT